GGACGCCCTTTTCCACCCCCCCAACGTTTCTCCCCTGAAAATAGGGACGTCCTATTCCATCCCCTCCAACGTTTCCCCCTGAAAATAGGGACGTCCTATTCCATCCCCTCCAACGTTTCTCCCCTGAAAATAGGGACGTCCTATTCCATCCCCTCCAACGTTTCCCCTGAAAATAGGGACGTCCTATTCCATCCCCTCAACGTTTGCTCCCACTGAAAAGAGGGACGTCCTATTCCATCCCCTCCAACGTTTCTCCCCTGAAAATAGGGGCTACAACGTCCCCGCCCACCAGAGCCCAAAATACCACGTTCTCCAAGCAGCCCATCAAGGTGGCGTTGAGCCTCTTCCTGCTCTCTTTGGCTTGACCAAGCTGCTTCTGCAAGTCCTTCTCTCGCTGGGCCAGCTTCTCCAGCTGCTTCTCGCGCTTGGCCCGCTCCCGCTCCAGTTCGGCCACCCTTGTCCCCAAGAGCCGCAGTCTCGTCGCCACCTGCTCCCGGCACCTCCTGAGTTGGCGAGCCGCTTCGAGTGCCACGCCATGACGGCCACGGATACGGTCACGGCGGCCAACACCAGAAGGAGAACCGCACACAAGCCCAGGACCTTCAGGGTGGCTTTGACGGCCGAGGGATCTATTCTTCTCCTTCTTCTTCTTCCTGGCAAGAGAGAGACTGTGCTGCTGGTCGTACTCCTCTCACTATAATCGCTCTGCGTGGGTTTCACAGCGACCACACAAACCCTTCATCTGTGGCTCACCACAGGCCGCAGGGAAGAAAACCAGAAGGGAGTTATTTGTGGCCTTTTTTTGGCCAGGAGTTGATGGGTTTGCCTGAGCCCTTAAATTATATCCAGCCCTTTAAAAAAATCACCAAGTAATTCGACCTCTGCGAAGTGCTAGGGCTGGGCTGATATCTTGTTTTCAACACTGGGACGTATCAGCAGCTAAATATCGTGATATAGCGATATCAGAACCTCCCAGTGTCCCCTGTTTTCCAGGGATTGGCAGAAGCCATCCCGGTTTCTGATTTGATCGCAGAATGTCCCGCTTTTTCTTACGATGTCCCTATTCAGGGGAGAAACGTTGGAGGGGATGGAATAGGAAGTTCCTATTTTCACGGGAGAAACGTTGGAGGGGATGGAATAGGACGTCCCTAATTTCAGGGGAGAATCGTTGGAGGGGATGGAATAGAACGTCCCTCTTTTTATTTAAGAATCCCCCGTGTGGCAGCTTTTAATAATAATAATAATAATAATAATAATAATAATAATAATAAATAATGCGTTGCACGAAGCACCGGGAAGGCTGCTATTCCCTAGCTCTGCCTCTTGCCCCCCCCCCTCCTGTTCTTCCTCTTCCTTTCAGATTTGCTCAGCGAGAAGCAGAATCTCTTCCAAATTCAGCCGGATACGCAGCCCCTCTCCGGAGAATGACCTGTTTATCCGTGCGCAACTTTGGGAACGGGTGAGCTCTTTCCCGCGGTCTTTTGGGTGCCCTCCGTTCCAACTCCCCGGGAGGCTCGGAGAAGGGGGTGGGGAAGACCCTCCGGACCGCTTTTTGGGTTTTGGGGTTCCCGCACCCCTTTGCACCCACTCCAAACCATGGAAGAGAAGGAAAGCTCTCCCAGTCTCCGCTGGGGGAAGCGCAAACTCTGGGTCGCCGTGGCGGCGCTGGAGTTCGCCGCCATCCTCATCTTGGTGGCCGGGCTGGCGCATTTTGCTGCGCACCACGAAAGGGCAACGGAGACAGGGAACTGGGGAGAGGGCAGCAACGCCACCAGCAGCCTGGCCTCCCTGGGAACCGTGAACCGGACCCTGCAAGCCGCCGCGAAGCGCTGGGAGTCGTGCCAGAACCGCACGGTAAGCCGCAAATAAAATCGCAGGATGGTTGCAAAAAAAGGAGAAAGGGAATCGGAAAGGAAATGTAACGGATAAGTTTGTAAACAGGTTGGAATTGGATACGCGGTCGCAAGAAGAGGCAAAATAAGAGAGGGGAGGGCAGAATGAAGCCAAAGGAAACGTCCTTTTGTTTTGCGTAAAGTCTTTGTTGCTAAAATATCTGCGAAACGGGAAAATATAGGCGGTTGCAATCGGAATTATCCAACCGCACTTTGCAAATCTGGTTGATTCTCAAAGTTTGAAGGGTTCCGGGTGTTTGCAAGGAGCAAATATAAGGAATAATAATAATAATAATAATAATAATAATAATAATAATATCTGAAGAAGTGTGCATGCACACAAAAGCTCATACCAATAACTTAGTTGGTCTCTAAGGTGCTACTGGAAGGAATTTTTTCATTTCATTTTAATTTGTTTCGACTACGGCAGACCAACACAACTACCTACCTGTAATAATAAAAACAACCCCATAGTCGCCTTTGACCGGACCTAACCATGCAGGGGTCCTTTGCCTTTACCTATAACAATGCCAAATTATAATACAATTACTAATATCAATCTAATAATAATAATAATAATAATAATAATAATAATAATAATTTTTATTTATACCCCGTCCTCCCCAGCCAAGGCCGGGCTCAGGGCGGCTAACAAGCAATAATAAAAACAAGTCATACAGAACGGTTTGCAGAAAACCAAAACAAGAAAGGATAAAGATAAAATTCAGTATAAAACAAACAAGCCACAGCAATTTAAAGCAGCAGCAGAAAACATAAAATCCTGAAAATGTTTACTGAAATAAAATGGTCTTAATTTTATTTATTTTTTAAAGGCGTTTGCAGTAAAGGGGCGAGGTAAATTTATTTTGGGATTCTGATTCTTCTCCTGGTTCCTACCGAGTTTATCTCTCATTTGCTATTGATTTTCTTGTGCCTTGTAATATAGAAAGGCGATATGCAAATTAAAAGTGAAAGGAAATCCTTTTTTTTCTCGTTGTTGATGTTTTGCCTCGGGGCAGAGAGCTCTAGAAGCCAACGCCTCCAGCCTGAGCTCCGAAATGACCCAGATCAAGACCCGCTTGGGCCTGGAAGGAACTGGAAATTAAAGGCCTGGAAGGTGAGATTCTGGGATGTTCAAAAGCTTTGGGAAGATCCTAGGTGGAGGTGGTTTGGGGCTGGAGGGGGCGAGGGAGCGGGAGAGCAGAACTGGGATCTCAGGCTTGGCGGCCCCCAAACCTCTCCACATGGCCCTCAGGGGCTTCTTCCCAGGCCACACCCTTTCTTAAGCCACACCCCTCACCTGCTCTACCCGGAAACCTACCCAAGTGCTATATCATCTATCTATCTATCTATCTATCTATCTATCTATCTATCGATCATCTATCTATCTATCGATCATCTATCTATCTATCGATCATCTATCTATCTATCACAGGTCCTTACAATATCAGCGAAACAGTTGGTTCTGGCGTAGTATTAACTGCTTTCAATTTTAACCTGAGGATTGTCATTTGTCCAGTTTTAATTTTAATTAATCGATTGATTGCTTGTTTTCATGCATATTGTATTATCTATATGATGTTAGCCGCTCTGAGCCCAGCTCTAGCTGGGGAGGGCGGGGTACAAATAAAAATTT